AAAAAAAAAAAAAAAAAAAAAAAGTGATGTTAAGGACACTGCTGTTCCAAGCGGGATGGAAACCTTAATGGTCAGACCCTGAAATGCATGGAGAAGAAAGTTAGTGTGGCAGCCTTTGACGGATTGATTGGAAAGCAGGAATGACTGTCTTGTTAGTGAGATCTGTGTAGATACATACAGTAAATTACACATATCTTAAATGTGCAATTCAGTGAATCTTCATATGTGCACTGGGTACCTACCCATTTATTCTCTCCACTTCAGAAAGGCCCCTCCTGCCCCCTTCTGTCATCTCCCTGCCTCATAACCTTTCTTCTGACCTCTGGGTTCACAGATTGGGTTTGCTTCTTCTTGACCTTCATGTAAATGGAGTCATATGGTCCGTGCCCTTTTGTCTCTGGCTTCTTTTGCTCAGTGTATGACTGAGGTGTCCATGTGTTGTTGGGAATATCAGTAGTGGGGTTCTATTTATTGCTGAAGAGTAGTCCACGATATGGATATCTACCTACAGCACCATATATGTGTCTGTTCTCCTGCTGATGGACCTGCGTGGGGTGTTTTTATTTTCAGGATGTTATAAATATAACTGCTGTATACACTCTTACACATGTGTCTTTGGTAGAATATGCCCTCTTTCTGTTGGGTGTATTTTTTTTGTTTTTGAGATGGAGTCTCACTCTGTCGCCCAGGCTGGAGTGCAGTGGCGCGATCTTGGCTCACTGCAACCTCCACCTCCCGGGTTCAAGCAATTCTCCTGCCTCAATCTCCTGAGTAGCTAGGACTACAGGCACATGCCACCACCCTCAGCTAATTTTTGCATTTTTAGTAGAGATGGGTTTTACCATGTTGGTCAGGCTGATCTCGAACTCCTGACCTCATGATCTGCCTGCCTCGGTCTCCCAAAGTGCTGAGATTACAGGTGTGAGCCACTGCACCTGGCCGATGTATTCTGAAGAGTGGGATTGCTGTGTCAGGGGAACAGTTATGTGCAGCTTTATTAGGTATGGGCGACAGTGCCCCTTGTCTGATGTCCAGCAGCCACCTTCCACCCACATTTGTTCCCTGTTAGATCCTGAATACTATTAGATTCTGCAAATTCTGCGACTTAAACCTCAGCAAAGACAACTGGAATCTAAATTGCCTGAATCAGGGAAGGAACAGGGACAGCATTTGAGCTGAGTGGTTCCTCAGGGTGGCCCCCAGATACCTCCAAACCCTCCTGGTCATTCTGGGAAAAGAAAAGCAGCCTCTCCTATCCCTGGGGCCAGATTCAGGGACCCCTTTGGTCTCCCAGCCATCAGCTCCTGTAGTCTGGCATCTCTGAGCAAACTGGCTTAGTGTAACTGTCAATTTCATGTCTGGCCTCTGGTGCCATGGGTCCTGTTGGTCCACTGTTTCCTGGGCTCCTTGCTGCTTTGTGGTGGCTGAAGGACTGGGTGGCTGGGAAAACAACCTACCCGGAATAGCAGGCTTGTTGGATGCAGGCCTCGTGGCACTTTCTCGGGGGAGGGCGGAACTATGTCCTGCCCACCAAATTGCCACTTCATTGAGGCTGTGAAAGATCAACAGAAAGCCAGAGACAAGAGAAGGGGCAAGGGAAAGAGAGAGAGCGCGCCAGGGAAGAGCAGGCAAAGGAGGGAGAGCAGAGGGTCCAGACTTGTGTGTGCAAGTATCCTGGCGTCTGTGTGAGTATCCTAGGCTCTGTGTGAATATCTTGGGATCCATGCAAGTATCTTGGGGGTCCAGGCAAGTATCTTTGGGTGGCAAGTATCCTGGGGTCCATGCAACTTTTTTGGGGCCCAGGCAAGTATCCTGGGGTCTTTGTGAGTATCCTGAGGAGTCTGTGTGAGTATCTTGGGGTCCAGGCAAGTATCCCAGGGTCTGTGTGAGCATCCTGGCATTGGCACCAGGTGGACCACAGCAGCCATGCCATGCTGAGCTGGTCCAGAATCAGTAGCCCCAAGCCTCTGTCTCTCCTGACTGTGGCCATCTCCTCACTTGCTGCCTCTCATCTCCACTTTGGGGCCTGTCAGGGAAGAGGCAGTGCCTAACAAGTTTAGGGGTGAAATTGAGAATTTCAGGGGCTTAAGATGGGCTCCCAGGTCTCCTGCCTGCTGGTGGGGACCCAAAATGCATCTCTCCCTTACTTTCTCCTTCCCTCCCTTTCTTCCTTTTTTCCTCCCTTCCTCTCACTTCCCTTATTTCTTCTTCGCTCCCTCCCTGCCCCTTTGGAGGGGGCTTTTCTTGTTCAGGTCCTCAGAGAGAGAGGGAGAGACTCCAGTTCCCCCTGCAACAGAGGGCAGAGTGTGATGGGAGCCCTGAGTTTCCCTTGGGGCAGATGGGAAGTGAAGGCAGAGCCAGTAAGCTGTGGTTCCTCCTCCCCCTGCAGGTTCCTAGAAGGTGAGTGCGGACGGTATGCAAAGTTGTGAATCCAGTGGAGACAGTGCGGATGACCCTCTCAGTCGTGGCCTGCGGAGAAGGGGACAGCCTCGTGTGGTGGTGATCGGCGCCGGCTTGGCTGGCCTGGCTGCAGCCAAAGCACTTCTTGAGCAGGGCTTCACGGATGTCACTGTCCTCGAGGCTTCCAGCCATATCGGAGGCCGCGTGCAGAGCGTGAAACTTGGTAAGTGCCACCCAGTCCAGCCCAGCCATCTCCCCAGGTCACCTGTAGTCCCTTAACTCCCAGCTCTTCCTGAAATCTCATTATTTTAGCTCCTGGGATAAATGTTCCAACATGCATCCTGCCTGGGCGTTTTCCAGACGCTTCCTTTGCTCCTTGAGGCAGCCCTCTGAAGTGGGCATGGTGGGGCCCTGACTTCCATTTTTGGAGAATGCTGGCTTGCCTCTGACCTAGGGTTCACAGTTTTCGGGAGGGAGTGGACACCCAAGCTGCCTTGGTACTGAGTGGGCCAGTTTCCGTTTCACAAGAAGTGAAATTCTCCTGCAAGGTCCTCATTGTCATTAACTTTTGATTGTGAATTAGTATATCGTGACTGAGAGCTAGCCCTGGAGAAGTAGGATCCTGGGTTAGCAGAGGTGAAAGGGGATTTGGGGCCTCCTTATGGCTGATGGGCAGGTCTTGGGATTATCTGGGAAGTGGATCTGTCCAGGTTGCAGAGCAATGAGGACCCTGGAGAAAGCAGCCAGGTAAGAAACTTGCCTGGGGTGGGCAGACTTTACCAGGGGTCTCAGAGAATGGGGAAACTGCCTGAAATTCCCCTGTCAGGGCTTCCCAACAGGGGAGGGGAGTCTGACCAATGAGGGGTTGAGTGGGTAGAAACCATGAAAATGACCCAGTGAGACCACACCTGGCCTGGAGTGTGTGGCTACATTGATCCTCTATTTTTTTTTTTTTTTAAGACAGATTCTCACACTTGCTCAGGCTGGAGTGTAGTGGTGCTAACTTGGCTCACTGCAACCTCCGCTTCCTGGGTTCAAGTGATTCTCCTGCCTCAGCCTCCCGAGTAGCTGGGACTACAGGTGTGTACCACCATGCCCAGCTAGTTTTTGTATTTTTAGTAGAGGCAGGGTTTCACCATGTTGGCCAGGCTGGTCTCGAACTTCTTACCTCAGGTGATCCGCCTGCCTCAGTCTCCCAAAGTGCTGGGATTACAGATGTGAGCCGCTGTGCCCAGCTCCTCTAGAGGATTTTGTGTCTGTGTTTTTTTGTGTCTGGTATATTCCCAAGGCCAGGCAGAGATGGTGCAGCTGCTTGCTTAGAGAAGTAGGTCGTCAGACTTAGAGTCCCAGAGGTTGGGGACATGTAGGGGCCTTCTCTCTTGTAGAAACCTTGATCTCATTAAGTGTCCTCCCCTACAGCATGTCTCGAAAGGCATAGCTAAAGTTGTCTCTTTTCCCTTGGCACACACAAGAGTGTCTGCTGGCAGCGAGGGTGAAAGTGCCATCCAAAGCTGCCGTTGTAAACCTGGGACAGCCAGGGAAAGCCCGGGGACTCTGTTGCTCATCACCCGATTTGCTGGCTAGAAGCCTTAGTGAAGGGTGGGCTCTTATGATTCTCCAGTCTTGATGAGACAGTCAGGGTCTGGCACAGAAACAGAAGACAGGAAGACAAATGGCCCAGTGTCAGTAGTAGCTGATGGCTGGGATGTGCCATGCTGGAGAATGATGGTACAAGGTGGCGAGGTGGGAGAGATGGCGCTGCAGGAGGTGGACAGGAGCCATGATTGATCAACTGATCGATTAGTCGATTGGTGGGAAGGCTTCCTAGAGGTAGGGAGCGTGGGCCTCAGTGGTGGTGGGAGTTGGGTATGTAGTGAGAAGGAAGAAGGAGTAATGTGCATGGAAGGATGTATGTGGGGGCAGCTGAGGCAGCACCCTGCCAGGAGAAGGGAGAACACATCAGGGAAAGGGTGTGCATGTGTGTGTTGGGTGTGCATGTGTGTGTCGTGTGTGCAGTCACACAGGGCTGGAAGCCCAGCTGCAGCTGGACCTGCTGCATAGGGAAATGGTAGCTATGACTTTGTCAAGGTGAGAGCAGGGGTCAAGGCCAGGGGCTCCTGGGATGGTATGGGTAGGCATGCAGACAGTGTCTGGTGCCCTTTGGATGTAGGGGTGTGGCAAGGATGACAGAGATGGTGGAGCATGTGGGAGAGGGCAGGAAGCTTTCTCAGGCAGGGGGCCTGCTCTGGGCCTCTACCTCCTTACAGATCCCAGGGAGAGAGGTGGGCACTGACCTTACTCCTGATCTTGAACACTCACCTAAATCCTGCTTTTGCTGAATATCTGGAGGCAGGAAAGGTGTCCCATGTCTCGGCTGCCCCATGATTCTATGACCTGGAGCTCCCTGCTGTGTGCTGGGAAAGGTTCCGATTCCTTCCCAGAGTACTGGTCCCTTCGGCTCCTATTGGGAGCTCAAACCAGGCAAGACACTTCAGGGAGCTCTAAGCCTGAGGTTGTAACAGAGGGGTAGCAATTAAATGCCCTTGATGCCCACCAGAGACCTGCTGCCAACAGGACAATGGCTTTTCAGCTTTTGGTGTCCTCCAGTTTGCCCATGATAGCCCTACCTATGTGTCTGGTGGTGGGCACAGGCTTCTCTCTGGGCCTCATGCCTCAGGAGGATAAGCCTTGGTTTCTTTCCATGGTTGTCACATCCTCGGAGGGTGAGGATGGAAGCCATGAGGCCCCTTGAGGCTGAGGCTCTGAATTCACAAACATCACTCTCACTACATTCTGTTAACCAAAGCAAGTCACAAGTCTAGCTCAGATCCAAAAACTGGGGAAACAGACTCCACCTTCTCATGGGAGGAATGACAGTCATGTATGGGAGGAATGACAGTCATGTTGCAAAGGGGTATGTGTACAAAGATAGGAGGAATCACTGTGACTATCTTGGCAAAAAATGTGCCACATATATCTTGAAGCAGGCCTGCAAAAACAAAGCAAAACACCCCCCAAAAAGTTTCAATCTCTTTTCCTTTCATTGTTTCAATTTCCCTGGGAGCTAGGTAGGGATGGAGAGGAATGGGAGAAGGAGACAGCTTCTTTAGCATCGGAAGAGGAAACTGAGGCCCAGGCAGGGAGGCGACTTGACTCAGGGTACATGGTACCTTGGCTGTGGATGAGGTAGTAGACCTAGTTCCCAGGCCATCCCAACTTGGACCCAGGAGATGTTCCCTGCCCCAGTCAGGCTCTCAGGGTTTCTGGTACTGTGCCAAAGGATGTAGTGGGCTTCACTTTTTTTTTATCTTTTTTGAGATGGAGTTTGCTTTTCTTGTCCAGGCCGGAGTGCAATGGCACTGTCTCGGCTCACTGCAACCTCTACCTCTCAGGTTCAAGCGATTCTCCTTCCTCAGCCTTCCAAGTAGCTGGGATTAGAGGCATGCATCACCATGCCCAGCTAATTTTTATATTCTAGTAGAGATGGGGTTTCTCCATGTTGGTCAGGCTGGTTTCTAACTCCACCATGCCTGGCTAATTTTGGTATTCTGGTAGAGGCAGGGTTTCTCCGTGTTGGTCATGCTGTCTTGAACTCCTGACCTCGGGTGATCTGCCCACCTCGGCCTCCCAAAGTGCTGGGATTACTGGCATGAGCCACCATGCCTGGCTGCTTCACTTTCCCTGGAAGTGCGCCTTAGATTGCTTTATGGAGGAATCTTGCAAACTGGTATGTTTGGGCTTCTCTTCTGCCCTATGCTGAGTTGGGAGGGGACCATTTTCTTTCTGGGAAATGCTTTAGACCCTGGAGCCACTGGGGATGTTGAAGAATTGAAAAAAGGCCAGGTGGAGACCCTCAGGGGCCCACGGTGCTTCTCCCGGGTCCGGGAGGTACCAGTGAAGAAGTTGGGTGTGGTATCTGGTGTTATCTGAGAAAAAGGTGGGGCTGATAAAGAAGAGCCTTTTAACTGGTCCAGTAAGGTGACTCTGGGACAAATCACAGAGTCATCCAAGGTGGCAGTTATCTTAGCTATAAGGTGATTTTCAGTGGAAACTTCACCGAGGATGTTCATTGGTTGTCAGCAGTGGGGGTTCAAGCTCCTTCCTGTCCTGTTGTAGGGGTGGAAAGAGCCTCTTGGAGGAAAGAGGGGGAAGCAGTGCTGGCCCTCTCTGGAGAAGTCCCTAAGTCTCTAAGGGCCTGTTGTTGTTACCCTCAGGACACGCCACCTTTGAGCTGGGAGCCACCTGGATCCATGGCTCCCATGGGAACCCTATCTATCATCTAGCAGAAGCCAACGGCCTCCTGGAAGAGACAACTGATGGGGAGCGCAGCGTGGGCCGCATCAGCCTCTACTCCAAGAATGGCGTGGCCTGCTACCTTACCAACCACGGCCGCAGGATCCCCAAGGACGTGGTTGAGGAATTCAGCGATTTATACAACGAGGTGAGGCATGAGCAGAGCAGCTGGTCCTGAGGGCATGGGGAGCCCTGCAAGGTCTTCTGTGATCCTCATCCTGTCTCTGCACACTCCCTGGGCCCTGCATTTGGAAAACCAGAATGATGTGAGGATAAAATGAAGGTGCTGAGTGGGAAAGTACTAGGCAAGAGATTATTGATGCGTGTGATTAAATATATCTTTAAAAAGGCCTTAAACATCTTTTGTTAGATTTATTACTAGGTATGTGGGGGTGGTGGTGATGGTTGTTACTGTTGGTGCTTGTAGATACTCTTATAAGTGGTAGTTTGTTTTGTTTTGTTTTTATTTGAGACGGAGTCTCGCTCTGTCACCCAGGCTGGAGTGCAGTCGCATGATTCGGCTCACTGCAACCTCCACCTTCCAGGTTCAAGCGATTCTCCTGCCTCAGCCTCCTGAGTAGTTAGGATTACAGGTGCGTGCCACCATGCCTGGCTAATTTTTGTATTTTTGGTAGAGACAGGGTTTCACCATGTTGGTCAGGCTGGTTTCAAACTCCTGACCCCGTCATCTGCCCGCCTCAGCCTTCCAAAGTGCTAGGATTACAGGCCTGAGCCACCGAGCCTGACCTAATTATTTTTAATTCTAATAATATATGTATTTTGTTAATTATATTAATTTATATTCTAATAATATTTTGGAATTTATGTATATAACTCTACAGATAAAATGAGAATTTTGGCTTTTTCTCTCTAATCCTTAGAGCAGCCTTTGCCCAGTAGAACTTTCCACAGTGATAATGATGTGTTAGATCTGCACTACGCAGCATGGTTGACACTAGCCACGTCTGGCTCTTGAGCACTTGAAGCGACGCAAGTAAAACTGAGGAACTGAATATTTAATTTTTTTATTGAGATGGAGTCTTGCTCTGTCGCTTAGGCTAGAGTGCAGTGGCGCGATCTCAGCTCACTCTCCCCGCAACCTCCATTTCCCAGGTTCAAGTGATTCTCCTGCCTCAGCCTCCTGAGTAGCTGGGATTACTTACAGGCAAGAGCCAGCATGCCCAGCTAATTTTTGTATTTGTAGTAAAGACGGTGTTTCAGCATCTTAGGCTGGTGTCAAACTCCTGACTGTGATCTGCCTGCCTCGGCCTCCAAAAGTGCTGGGATTACAGGCATGAGCCACTGCGCCTGGCCTAATTTTTAAATTTTAAATTGCTGCAGGTGTCTAGTAGCTACTGTGTTGGATAGCACAGCTGTAGATGGTTTTTTTTTTCTTGCCTTATTGCACTGGTTAGTATCTCAGCGCAGTGTTGGATAGAAGTGGCAATGGCACATATCCTTGTTTTATTCAGATTTTTAAAAAATTATTAATATCATTAATATTCTTTAGCTGTGTGAACTGCACTGAACAAGCAAGCTAATGCGTAGGCCCAGTCATCTGATAGCTTGTCATTTATGGTGTAATGATCCTTCACTCCAGGTCAGTAATTTGGCCTATTGTGCATTTTCTAATCTCTTGGGCATAAGAAAGGAGAAATGACCCTGGCTTTAGGGTAGCCCCTGCTCTATGGAGGACAGGCACACTCAGTGTCTTGTGTGTGTGCACCAACAAGGTACGTTGTGTGCAGTCCATTGTATTGTGTGTTATCATGTGCAAAGAGACTGAATTGTTAATGGTCAGATAAGAACTAGTATTCTTCAAAGTAGACCTTTCTGGTCTGCTGGAAATCAGCCCCAGCCTGATTCCCAGGTTATTGTGAGTGATTCAAACATGATGCCTTTTGAAAATGACTTTCAGGGCCCATGGTTTGCTCTTTTAAATGTTTTTAAAAGTAGATCATCATCAAATTCAGCTGGTGGGTTTGATTTTTGAAAATCAAGTGTGTGCATTGTTAATAATGGGGTAGATATGGTGGATTATCCATCTGGGTGGTGGTGTTTTCAGTTAAAAGGATAAGGTGTAGCCATGATGTCAAGATTTCTTTGCATGGCTTTTAACCAATCCTGGAGGCCATTCTGAAGAGGTGCACTCTAAGCATGTGAAGCCTCAGCAAGGCTTCGTAATAAATATGCAGTCCCCAAAGATGATGACTTTGAAGAGCCATTCATTTGAAATGTATTTTATTTATTAACAAATAAATGAGTTTGTGCAGTGGCATCATCTAGAGCTTAGTTTCTGGAGTAAGATGCCTTGATTAAATGCCAGTTCTACCATTTATTAGCTGTGGAATCTTGAGCAGGTTATTGAGCCTCTCTGAGCCCTACTTTCCTCTTCTGTAAAATGGGCATGGTGGTACCTACCTCATAGTATTATGAGGGTTGAATGAGATCCCAATTGTAAGTGCTTAATGAGAATTGGGGTATTATTAGCTGTCACAGACAGGTCCCATTTTCCTCGGGTCACACTGGGAAGGTGTCAGATAACCCAGGAGAGGAGACTGTGCCATATGACCCAGCCATGTTCAGTGAAGGCTGCCCGAGTCGGTGGCTGATACAAAGAGTCACATCGATGGACTAAATGTGTTACTCCTCAGCTGGGCATTTTGGCCTGTAGTTAACATAAGCTGAGGACTGGCTACCATGTTGCTTATTGCCCAAGGGAAAAACCCAGGGAGGAGGAGGCAAGTTGAAAGCTGACTCTTGGCAGTGAAGAATTCCTGGGTCAAGAATTTGCTGAGGACTCTAGCTAAGGCTAACCACTGGGCATCTCGTGATTGCAGGGAGACAAGACAAAACAATTTCCTTCACTCTTCTTTATAATTTAGTTTCCAGAGAGAAGTTTAATTCATGTTTGTGTCTCAGGTGGAGGCCTTCCCCTTGAGTGAGATGGTGGTGGTGTCGGGTGGCGGACGACACTGAGCTTTGCCATCTTCCTTTGCCCTTTGGTCCCAGGGCCTAGGCCAGGGTGGGGGGACAGGGCAGATACCATTCCCAGGCATGTGTGCTGACCATGCTCACTTTAGGAAGGGAAACAAAGCATTCATCAGCTCAGCCACAGAGGCCCAGCCACGGAGCCTCCATAAGCCAGTGTCCTGGGCATGACAGCTGTGGGCAGGCAATCCTGCTGCCTTTCTGCTCACAGCCCCCCAGTGGTGCCAGGGCCTTGGATCAAGTCCAGAGTCCTTGGAATAACTCTCAGTCCTTTATGCCCTGGCCCCTGCCTGCCTTTCCAAAGTCGGCTCTCAGATCTTCCTCTTTCCTTGCTGCCCCCTCCAGCAAAACCAAACCCCGTCAGGATTCCTGACTGCATTTCCATCTTTGAGGTTGCTGTTCCCTCTGCCTGAAATACTTTTCTTCCCCCTCTTCCCTCCATCCTGGCCATCTCCCAGCTGCCCAGGGTTGTCTGCATTGACCTCACAGCCCCGGGTACTTTCCTATCACAGCAGCCCAATCGTAGACTGTCTCCCTAGCTGGAGTGAGGGCAGGGGCAGGGACTGTTTTGCCCACATTACAAGCTGTGTCCCACACAGAGCCTGGTAAATGTTGAGTGAATGTTGCTTCTGGGGGTCCCAGGACTGCCCTGGACTGGCTTACTTCCTTCAGGGAGCCCTGCCTGATGCTTAGTGTCTGTACATGAGGCAGACATTGAGGGAGGGTGGGGGGTAGTCAGACCCTATTTCAAGGGACTGATCATCATTATCTGTTGATGAGGTGTGGGCTGGAGTTCTTGCTGAAATGTCCCCGTGAAATGCAGCTCCATTCCTTGGCACACTGGGGCCTCCTGAGACCATGGCTTTTGTGTTCCTGTCTTCCCTCTGCATCCCGGCTTCCTAACTCGTGGCTGAGGCCTGAAGCAAAGGGGGATGCTTTGTAGGGACCTGACAGGCCCAGGGGGTTGTTTCCAGCAGAAGGGCTCCTTCTGCTGGCCAGGCCACAGCTCCAGACTGCCCTCTTGGGAGCAGGCAAAGCAGACACGCTTGGGCAGGGGCAGCAGGGAAAGTGCACGTATGGTTCTTAGAACAGGTAAATGTGTGCAAATGCCCATCGTCCAGTGGGAGGTAGAGCCCGTGGAGGCCCATGCAGAGTCCATGAGGGGTGACTTCTTTCCCACAGACTGTATGGGCACCAAATGTTTCACTTTGTCCTAAGCGAGGGCTCAGCAAGAGAGCCTCTGGGGCCCATCCCACCTCCCCCACAGGCCGGAGGCGAGGAGGTGGCCACCCAGGGCCTGTTGGTACAGTCCTGGTACAGCATTGAATGCAACATCGGTTCACTAAGGGACAGAGACCAGGGGCTCAGTGCATCCAGGGGACACCTGGGAACTGGAGGCTTTTGAGTTGGGGCCCTTCTGTTTGAGATGGAGGTGTGATGAGGTGTTTTCAGTCTCATGGGGTCTCTCTGGCAGGTCTATAACTTGACCCAGGAGTTCTTCCGGCACGATAAACCAGTCAATGCTGAAAGTCAAAATAGCGTGGGGGTGTTCACCCGAGAGGAGGTGCGCAACCGCATCAGGGATGACCCTGACGACCCAGAGGCCACGAAGCGCCTGAAGCTCGCCATGATCCAGCAGTACCTGAAGGTATCTCGAGGAAGACGGATTCTGGGGGCGTCTGGGTCTGAGGAGGGCTGCGCTGCTCCTACCCCTGCCCAACTCTGGCGGTCACCTGGCTTCTCCCTGGGTCTTCCCGCAGGTGGAGAGCTGTGAGAGCAGCTCACACAGCATGGACGAGGTGTCCCTGAGCGCCTTCGGGGAGTGGACCGAGATCCCCGGTGCTCACCACATCATCCCCTCTGGCTTCATGCGGGTTGTGGAGCTGCTGGCGGACGGCATCCCCGCCCACGTCATCCAGCTGGGGAAACCAGTCCGCTGTGTTCACTGGGACCAGGCCTCGGCCCGCCCCAGGGGCCCTGAGATTGAGCCCCGGGGTGAGGGTGACCACAATCATGACACCGGGGAGGGTGGCCAGGCTGGAGAGGAGCCCCCGGGGAGCAGGTGGGATGAGGAAGAGCAGTGGCCGGTGGTGGTGGAGTGCGAGGACTGCGAGCTGATCCCAGCGGACCACGTGATTGTGACTGTGTCGCTGGGCGTGCTGAAGAGGCAGTACACCAGCTTCTTCCGGCCAGGCCTGCCCACAGAGAAGGTGGCTGCCATCCACCGCCTGGGCATTGGCACCACTGACAAGATCTTTCTGGAATTCGAGGAGCCCTTCTGGGGCCCTGAGTGCAACAGCTTACAGTTTGTGTGGGAGGATGAGGCGGAGAGCCGCACCCTCACCTACCCACCCGAGCTCTGGTACCGCAAGATCTGCGGTTTCGATGTCCTCTACCCACCTGAGCGCTACGGCCACGTGCTGAGCGGCTGGATCTGCGGGGAGGAGGCCCTTGTCATGGAGAAGTGTGATGACGAGGCAGTGGCCGAGATCTGCACAGAGATGCTGCGTCAGTTCACAGGTGCGCGTGCCCCACGGCCCACTCCCCCCGCCCCGTCTTCCTCCCCTGCCCTCCTCTGCTGGACCTGTGGCAGCTCTCTCCTCCCCAGACTGTGAAGCTCAGATGCTGTGCCTGCTGGGAGAGGGGCGCCACACCCGGCCTAAGGCTCCTCAATTGCTGACGGTTTGGAGCTTGAAACACTCAGAATGCTGGGCACTGTGTTTCTTCCCTCTTTCTAAGGGCTGATGGTAAAACACTCAGACATCACCACCCGTCGTGCTTTGTTGCTAAGAGCTGGATTTGCATTTTGCTCTCTGAGTCTTTCAGCTGAACATTTTTCACCCACTATTCCAGGAGGGCCTCACAAGAACCCCTGAAATTAGCCGGGGAAGCATGATTATCTGTCATGTGTTTTCAGATAGATAGGAAAAGTAAGGTGGAGTGTTTTGCTGGGGGTCACAGGAGGTGCTGAGTGGGTACACGGCTCAGGTCCCAGCCTCTCTCCTTCCTCCTCTATCTTCTCTGTCTACCCCTGGCAGTCTCGTCCTCCCGAAGCCCTGGAGGTGGGGTGGGGTTGTCCATTTGGGGTCATCTTCTGTACGCAGCCATTTCTTATCCTCCCTCCCCTTGGCTTTTCTGACTCTCCATCAGGGAACCCCAACATCCCAAAACCGCGGCGAATTCTGCGCTCGGCCTGGGGCAGCAACCCCTACTTCCGCGGCTCCTATTCATACACACAGGTGGGCTCCAGCGGGGCTGACGTGGAGAAGCTGGCTAAGCCCCTGCCGTACACGGAGAGCTCAAAGACGGCGGTAAGCGGGGGCGTGTGGGTAAGGAGGGGAGTTGTGGGTGTATTTTGTATGTGTGTCTGGTCCAGGGTGAGGAGGACCAGGGTACTGTTCACTAAAGGGTGCTCAGGTGAGGCGGGATGGAGTAGCTTCTGTAATGAGAGAACACAAGGAGAAAGTGCACTTAATATCTGGAAGAAAAATGGAATTGAATTGAAACTTAAAATGTTTTCTTGATGTTAGGAAAACTGAGCTATTCTGTGCTGTGTTGGCCAATATGGTAGCTGTCAGCCACTTTCAATTTAAATTAATTAATTACAAAATTAAATTAATATAGTATTTTTTTTTCTTTTTTGAGACAAGGTCCTGCTCTGTCTACACTTCAGGCTGGGGTGTGGTGGTGCGATCACACTCACCGCAGTCTTCACCTCCCAGGTTCAAGTGATCCTCCCAGCTCAGGCTCCCAAGTAGCTGGGACCACAGGCATGCCATCACGCTCAGCTAATTTTTGTATTTTTTGGGGTAGAGATGGGGTTTCATCATATTGCTAGGCTGGTCTTGAACTCCTGGGCTCAAGCTATCCTCCTGTCTCAACCTCCTAAAGTGCCGGGATTGTAGGAATGAGCCACCACACCTGACCAATGTAGTGAAGTTTTTGTTCCTTGGTTGCACTAGTCACATTGCAAGTTTAATAGACACATGTGGCTAGAGGCTACCATAGCAGATTATATAGTGATAGAATGTTTCCAGCATCATGGAATGTCTTACTGGATAGCACCAATTCAACTGAAATGTTTTCCCAATATATTTTAGCAAATAAAGTTTAGAATACCGGCACTCTCCGAAATTATGGCAACTGTCCACTAAAAAGAATAGTAAATCTGAAATACATACTTTTGCTCCCATAAAGTGAATTTTGAGTTTCCCCCACCAAGTAGACACACCCAATAAATGTTAAAACTCGAGTTATATTTGAAACAGTTATTTGGTATAATTGGTAAAGAAGAGTTCAGTCAACCAGTCTACTGTGCCTGCCCAGCTGTGCTCAGAGGGGGAGAGAAAAGGGCTGGTGTTTAAAGAGACAGAGGTCCTTAGGAAAGGTCCTTTCTGCTACCACAGCCATCCTCCTAAAAATCAAATCTCTTTTCACCTGCATCAGATAGGACTAGTGCATGTAACAAAAAGCAAAGCAGAGCAAACATAACTGTGGCTTAAACAAGGAAAATGAAAAGGAAATCTGGAGGCCGGCAGCAGGATCCTGTATCATTAGCACCTGTTTCCCATCTTCAAGGCCACCTGTGGTCCAAGAGGGCTGCAGAAGTTCTGCTGTCACATCTGCATCTTAGGCTGGAAGGAGGAAGAAAGGCAAATGGCAAGAGAGAAACTCTTTGAGCTGAGATGATGGTGTCTTTAAGCAACAGTGGTCTTTAAAGCTCATTGGCCAGAACATAGTCACATGACTGCACCCAGCTGCTAGAGAGGCTGGGCAATGTAATTTTTATTCTGGATGGTAATGGACCCAGTTAAAAATCACGACTTTGTTATTGAGGAGAAAGAGGAGAATGGGTGAATGTGGAAGTAGGCAGCTTGCACCCTGACATAGTATACAGCACTCCTTTTGGGGTAACAACCTCTGTGGGCTCCTTGGTGGGATACAGCCTCACTACCCAGGGTAGGTAGACCAATAGTACCAGCCTCACCTGGCAGCTAGTTAGAAGTGCAGACTCTCAGCCTGGCCAACATGGCAAACCCTGTCTCTACTAAAAATACAAAATTAGCTGGGTGTGGTGGCACACACCTCTAGTGCCAGCTACTCTGGAGGCTGAGACATGAGAATTGCTTGAACCCGGGAGGCGGAGATTGCAGCGAGCTGAGATCATGCCACTGCACTCCAGCCTGGGCGACAGAGTGAGACCCTGTCTCAAAACAAAAAACCACCACCCCACTCCCACCGGCACACACACACACACAAACACACACACACACACAAATAAATAAATAAAAATAAATGCAGACTCTCAGCCCACTTCAGACCTGCTAGATTAAAAACTGCATTCTGGCCAGAGATGCTTGCTCCTCCCTGTAATCCCAGCACTTTGGGAGGCTGAAGTGGGAGGATGGCTTGAGCTCAGGCGTTCAAGACCAGCTTGGGCAACAAAGCAAGACCCCCATCTCTACAAAAAAATTAAAAAAAAAAAAGAGCCAGGTGTGGTGGTGTGTGCCTGCGGTAGTCCCAGCTACGTAGGAGGCTTAGGTAGGAGGATTGCTTGAGCTCAGGAGGTCAAGGCTGCAGTGAGCTGTGATTCGTGTCACAGCCGGGGCAATAGACTAAGATGCTGTCTCAAATAATAATAATAATAAATAAAAACTGCATTTTATCAGGATCCACAGCTGGTGCCCTTACATATTGAATTTGAGAGGCACTAGGATAAAATCCAAACGTAAACTTGGGGTGCAAAAACGTATCTTGCCTAGAACTCACCTAGACAGCCTGCTTTCTCAAGGCCGAGCCCTGGCTGTACCGAAATTCTCACTGTCCCCCAAGCACAGCCTGCTCTGGTACATTTTTGCCTCCATCTGAAATGCCCTTTGCCTGTCCTTTCACTCAACATCTTCCGAGAACCAGTCCAAAGATGCTGTCCTCTGGGAAGCTTTGCGGGACCCCCCCGACACTGGGCCTCTTTTCTGGGCTTGCGGCGCCTTGCACAAACATCCATTCCATCACGTATGACGCAGTTTAGTAATTGGGTTTCGTGTCTGGCTTCCTCACCAGCATGGAAGCTCCACAAAGCAGCAGCCTGGTCACCTTTTCTCTTCCAAGTGCCCAGAACAGCCCCTGGATGCTAACAGGGGCTCCGTAAAGGTTTGTTAAATTACCACCAACTTTATTGAGTGCTTTGTTCTTCCAGGTTCTAAGTGCTTTAGATACATGAGTTCTCTTAATCCTTATAAATGCCCTCAGAAGTAGATGATGTAAACCCATTTGGCAGATGAGAAAAGCGAGGCTTAGGGAGGTTAAACCACTTGCCCCAAGTTCACAAGTAAGAGGCACAGAGAACATATGAGAATGCAGAGCCAGGACTCCTAATGGTCTCGGGACAGAAAGAGCCGAGGTTAGAAGCAGGGGAAGGTGGGCAGATGGGACGGGCAGCTCTACGTCCTGTGGAAGCAGCAGCACCTGTGTCTCAGAGCCTCTCTAATTTGTTGTCGGGATGGGGAAGACTGGTGGCCTTGTGGCCTCTGCTGCTCCTCCACCCTGACCTCCCCATCCCCGCCCCCCAGCCCATGCAGGTGCTATTTTCCGGTGAGGCCACCCACCGCAAGTACTATTCCACCACCCATGGTGCTCTGCTCTCCGGCCAGCGGGAAGCCGCCCGCCTCATCGAGATGTACCGAGACCTCTTCCAGCAGGGGACCTGAGGGCTGGAGACCTCTTCCAGCAGGGAACCTGAGGGCTGTCCTCGCTGCCTGCCCAGAAGAGCCACTAACTCACGACCTCTAGCCTGGCCCCTTGCTGCTGTGTGTTTCTGCCTTCCTGATCCTCTGTAGAACGGATTTTTCTCTTCTGTAGAGCTAGCTACCCTGACTGCCTTCAGACCCGGCCCTGTAGCTTTTCCTTTTCTCCGGGCCATAAGCAGGTGGGCCATTGAGTTACCTCTGTGCTGAATCCCGAGCTCCTCTGCCTGCCCTCTGTCCCGCCTTGTTATTGTAAGTGCCTTCAATACTTTGCATTTTGGGATAATAAAAGAGGCTCCCTCCCCTGCCCCTCAGGTTCTTTCTGGTTTTCTCAGCCTCTGTGTATGTGGGTGTGTTTATTTCTATCATATCCCCTTTGAGTAAGAGGGAGAAGGCGGGGGAACCCTGGCCTGGCTGTGTTTCCTGGAAGGGGTGTCCCCTCCTCCCATCTGTTGGGGTGTTTACCTTCCTGCCAGTAAGGCCCCTCAGGAATACGGGCCTCTCACTATCCACCTGCTCCTTCAGGTCTGGCCTGGGTCTGCCTGCTGGCCCTTTCTTTGCTGGACTTCTCTGAGTTGAATTGAGTGACGTGCTGCCTGGAGTGAGGGAGTTCTGTGGGAGGGGACCCCAGCTGTGGCTCCATGCGAAGCCTAGGTATGTTCATTGTTAATCAGTGTCCTGGCCACTGGGCTGTGGGTCTGGCCTCTGGGGTGGCTCCTTTTGGACCTCTGGGAAGGTGGTCATTCTGGGCCTTTTTTTAATTTTTTTTTTTTTGGCAGGGGGAATATCCTAAGGCCTGCTGTTTATTGGGTGATAGATTTTTCTTCTTTTCAGCTGGGTTCAGTGCCCCATGCCTGTAATGCCAACACTTTGGGAGGCCAAGGTGGGAGGATCGCTTGAGCCCAGGAGTCTGAGGCTGCAGTGAGCCATGACTACACCACTGTACTCCAGCTTGGGTGACAGAATGAGACCCTGTCTCAGAAAAAGTAAAGAAGGTGTTATTTGTAATCCTTTACATGTAAGCTGTCAAGCATCTCAGTATTCAGGAATATTTCACACACCAAATATAAAGTGATCAATACTTTACATACTAGGCATCTAGGAAAAGGTCCTGGGCTGGGCCTGGTGGCTCATGCCTGTAACTCCAGCACTTTGGGAGGTTGAGCCAGGAGGATTGCTTGAGCCCAGCCTGGGCAACACAGTGAGACCCCATCTCTACAGGTATCTTTAAAAATAATAATAATAAACTTTTATTTTTCTTCTCTTTTTGCTGAGTGAAAAGACACACCTACCCCCTTATGTATACTCACCTGAATATACAGGTACACACACCTACATACACTCACCTCCATACACATATGCCCACCTACACAGACACAGACAGACACACACACACACACACACACACACACACACACACACACACACACA